AGGCACAGCCACCAGTGGAAAACTTATTTGAACAAATAATAAAGGAGAATTTCCCCAACCTGGCAAAGGAAATAGACTTCCAGGAAATCGAAGCTCAGAGAGTCCCAAAGAAGTTGGACCCAAGAAGGAACACACCAAGGCACATCATCATTACATTAGCCAAGATTAAAATGAAGGAGAGAATCCTAGAAGCAGCAAGAGCTAAGGGGACAGTCACCTACAAAGGAGTCCCCATTAGACTGTCAGCGTATTTCTCAAAAGAGACCTTGCGGGCAAGAAGGGGCTGGAAAGAGGTATTCCAAGTCATGAAATCCAAAGACCTACAACCAAGATTGCTCTATCCAGCAAAACTTTCATTTAGAATGGAAGGACAGATAAAGTGCTTCTCAGATAAGATCAAATTCAAGGAGTTCATCATCACCAAGCCCTTATTATATGAAATGTTAAAGGGACTTATCTTAGAAAAAAGAAGTTAAAAAAACATGAACAGTGAAAGGACAGCAAACTCACAGTTATTAACAACCACACCTAAAACAAAAGCAAACTAAAAGGACAGCTAGATCAGGAGTGGAAACATAGAAATGAAGATCTCAAGGAGGGTTAGCAACAGGGGAGTGGGAGGAGGAGAAGGGGGGAGAAGGTACAGAAAATAAGTAGCATAGACAGTAGATAGAAAATAGATGGGGGGGGCAAGAATAGTATGGGAAATATAGAATCTAAAGAACTTGAGACACATGTTCATAAACTAAAGGGGGGGTAATGGTGGGGGCGGGGGGGTAGGGTGGAGGGGAATGAAGGGGGGAACAGAACAACTGTAATGGCATAATCAATAAAAAAATAAATTTATAAAAAAATAAAATAAAATGGTAAAAATCTGAAAAAAAAAACAAGTGATATATCAAGTGTTTATTATAAGATTGTCAGTAACAGTGAAAATAACGTAACTAGCCATGCACAGTGCTCGGCAGAGAAGTGAAATGATGCAGGAGGCAAGATTTGAAGGAATATTACGCAACCATTAAAATAATGTTATGAAGGTTGCATAGCAACATACAAAAATGTTTACAATTTTAGCAAAATAAGTACAAAGCCCTGTGCAGATTGTTATTACAACTAAGTGGCAACCTCACTGTGGGGGCCCAAGGCCCACGAGTGGGATGCAGTCTGGAGGGTCCCCTCCCCCAGCCCGCCTCGGCCTTCAGTGGTGCTCAGACACACTCTGCAGGACCGAGCAGAGGACACAGGGCTGTGGGTCACCAGCCCCTGGCTTGAGCATGTTCAGTTTGTTTTGTTTTTGGCGCTGGTGGTTGGGGTGCAGTTTGGGTGCAGACCTGAGGTCGAGTCATGATTCTGCTAGTTACTGGCCATGTGACTTGGAGCCTCCTTTCCTGCCCTGCCTTCTGTAAAATGAAGATTCTAGAGCATCAGGAGTGAGGATGGCTTTGCTGGTCACAAAGATCCAAGAGTCTGAGGGGTGAGGGAGCTCTGTGTGGGCAGAGCTCTGACCTTGCAAGATTCCATTGGAGGGTTAAAACAAAACAAACCCAACCTCTCTTCCCCCACAAAAAAATCCCACAAGATTTCTGGCAGTATAAGAAAAAAAAAAAAGACGATGAAATCCTTAGACCGGAAACGTACTCAGGCTGTTGTAGGTACGGGCACACAGCTCAGTCGCAGCTTTGCCCAACACCTTCGGTGGCCCCTCCAGAGTCCAGTCCCTGTCCCCTTGCCTTCTGCAGCCTGTCCTGCTGCAGACACCCGGGGTTGTACTGGGCCACACACACCTGCTTTGCACATCCCTGTTCTCAGCCCAGCCTACCGCCCCCAGCTCATCCCTGCCCACTGTTCACTCCGTGGGTTCCCCTCACTCCCCAGACTCCCCAGTCACTCTGGCTTTGCTGTCCCTGCAGTTTCTACTACATGGAAGCATGTCTGCCTTCCATCTTGGTGTTCATACCCCCAGAGCGTTCTTGGTAGGGAAGCTTAGGAGGACTTTTCAGGAATGCAGAATCAGCGGTGCTTGAGGACTGGGTTTGAATCCCAGCCCTGCCACTTACCAGTGTGAAACCTGAGGGCAAGTTAGCTCATCTCTCTGGGCCTCAGCTTCCTCATCTGCACAATGGGAGTACACAGTAGTAAGGATCGGAGCACCTAGCACAGAACACCTGCCTCATCCAAGAGTCGACAATGTCCATTCCCCTTTACTTCCTCTTCCACTCATATTTTCCACATACATATTAGTTAATATGTATTAAAGTAGAATATATATGCAGAAAGCTTACATTGTGTTTTTTTTCAAAGTAATACATGTACATAACCTTAAATAGTAGCAAAGGGTTTATAATTAAAAGCAGCTGCCCTTGCAGCCCCTCTTTCCACCCTGTAGGATTTACCATTGCTCATGTTTACGCTGCATATGTGTTCACTGTAGACCATCAGAAAGTGTAGACAAGCAGACCAAGTAGAACACATTAAATCCCACTTCTCATCTTTGGCTGGCTTCTTCCAGATCATTTAGCCATGTATTTTTTTCCAGAAAAGGTCCTCGGTGTATTTTTTCTGTGCATTATCGCTCTAATCACTGTCTGCCTTCAATTAAGGGAAGGAAACAAATATTTGTTGAGTAAAAGCTGCTCAGTCCTTCCTGCAGAGAGTGCACCCCAAGGACCAGCATCAGGGGCACCACCGGGAAGCTTGTTGAGAACGCAGAGCCTCGGGCACCAGCTCGGAATCTGCATCGTGACAAGATCTCGGTGACTGGCATGCGCATTAAAGCTGGGCACGCTTGTGTGGACCAGAGCTACTCAAAGTTGCAGTCAGCCCACGAGCCGCTCCTTCCAGTCCTGGAGGAGAGGCTTGAGCCAGAATGCAAACTGGTGCTGCTTCCCTTGTTAAGACAGACTTACTATAAAACCCTGCCAGCGGAACTAAACAATGTGATTGATGAGGAGGGTGATTTACATTCTGGACCGAGCTCCTTATCTTGTCAGGGACCAGGGACACACAGTTTCTGGATTTGGCACCCGGCTGCAGACCACACTTTGGGTAGTGCTGTTCGCCAGCAGAACTAAACAATGTGATTGATGAGGAGGGTGATTTACATTCTGGACCGAGCTCCTTATCTCGTCAGGGAGCAGGGACACACAGTTTCTGGACTTGGCACCCAGCTGCAGACCACATTTTGGGTGGTGCTATTTAGATCACAAGGTGGGAAGTCAGGGGCTGGGACCACACTGGGTTTCTCTGGCTCTGGATCCTGGCCGCTTGCACTCTGCACGTGTCTGACCCTCTCACCTCCTGTGATGCACGCTTAGGCATGCGCACATGCAGGCATGCACACGCATCCTAGGAGAGCCCTGACCCAAGAGTCGGTGAATAGGAAACATCTGTTTCTTGATTCAGACAGAGGCCCCGTCTCTTTGCCTCCCTGTCCCACAGGCCTCTGTTTACAGGACAGGGTTTTGCACCAGGGTTTTACTGCTCTCGTTAGACTAACCCCTCCTGTCAGGGCCAAACAGAGCAGGGCACTGGCAGAGCATCTGGAGCCAAGAGAAACTGAGCAGAAAAGCCCTGATGGACTTGGAAAGAGACAAAACAACTTTGCTTGCCTCGAGCTCCTAAGGCAGAAAGAGCGCTCAGATTCCAGGGCCCGTGTATAACCTGGCATTTACAAACTCCAGGCCTGGCTTCTACCCGTGGCGACAGAAGCTGGGGACTCATGTCTCTGAGCTGGGAAGCAAGGCCGCCGGGGACATGTGGACCGGCAGACTCAGAGCTGGCCTCATCTGAAATACCGGTGGCATGCAGTCCGGCCTTCACGTCACCTTCCCCAAGGAGCCCACGGAGCCTCGTGACGTGGATCTCGGGGCTCCTTTTTACCTGGACATTGAGAAAGACTCAGAACCTTTCACACAGCACAGTTCAGTGACTCCTGCTGGGAGTCAGAGTTTGGATCTCCAGGCCACTGTTCTCTGGCTGTGTGACCTCAGGGAAGTTACTCAGTGTTTCTGAGTTCCCCCATGGGGAACGTGGGGCATAACAACACTGACCTTGGAAAGGTGCTGTGAGGATTAGCGACGAGGTCCGTAAAGCACCTGGAACCCACTCATTCATTCGTTCTCTCAGTCGTGTGTCAGCCTGTCCCTACTGAACACCTTCTGGGCACCCCGCGGAGGGACACAGCCCCGAGCCGGAGCTGGCAGCCCAGCAGGGAAGACTGTGGCAAAGCCCCACTCAAGCGAGCACAGAACAAGCCGCAGGCTGCACCGCAGAGACAAGAGCAGCTGTGCCGGGGTGGTCTGAGCCAGGCGATAGCGGGGGTTTCATGGAGCGAGTGATTCTGAGCACAGATCCCAAAATGAGTAGGGGCTTATGATGCAAAGTGAGGAAAGGACATTCTGGGGGCATAGAGGGGACTGCTGTTGCTATGTTCCAGATGATCATTTTGGGTAGAGAGAAGGGGTCAGGTGTATTTTACCTTTTGAGTAAAATTTCCATGCAACCAAGTGCACAAATCCTAAGGTCCAATTGGATGATTTTTGGCAAACACACACACCCAGAAGCCAACACCTCTGTCCAAACATGGCACGTCACCAGCAGACTGGCCTCGCCTTGATAGTTCTTCCCCTCATTGTCCCAGTCAGGGGCTGGTTTCAACGGGAACATTTGACGGTGGCGCAGAGGGCTGAGGCTTTGGACTAGGCCTACACCACAACTCCACCCCTTTCTACCAACAGGACTTTGCCCAGGTCTCCCTGCCTCTCTGAGACTCGGTTTCCTCATCTGTAAACTAGGGCGAAGGAAGCCTCCTTCACAGGGCTGCTCAAGGGAGCGCATCTGCTCATGTTGCATGTGCCCAGCGGGGCTCAGGGTAGGTGGGCGCCCGATGAGTGAGCCCCGTTTTGTTTCCAGAATGGAAATCATGGCAGGAAAGTGCCTGGTGGTTGGAGTGAGGCCTCCCCAGGGCAGCACGCCCCTAACACTGGTCTCTCTGCCCACAGGGATGTGCCTGCAGGCCTTCGTGGAAGCTTTCTTCTACTTGGCTCAGAGGAAGTTCAAGTTGCTGCCCCTCCACAAGCAGGTGGCCTCGCTGATCGACCTGTGTGAATACCACCTGTCCCTGCTGGACGAGAAGCGCCTGGTGTGCGGCCGGGGCGGCAGGCCGGGGGGCCGGCCCCCTTACAGCAGCACACCCCAGGAGGCCACCCCGGCAGCCCCATCAGCAGAGGGCGACCTCCGGCCCTGCACAGCCAAGCTCTCTCACTCCAGACACACCCCAGCCTGACAGCTGCTCCGTCCTCCCAGAACAAGCCCTCCGGGGCCAGGGGGAGAGAGGCCCTGGGCGGCCTGCTGGAGGAGCGTAAAGCAACGTGGTCTGCTGAGACCTCCTGCCCGGGGCTCCGCTCATTGTCCCCTGCTGTGCTGACTTGTGCTTTGAGAGGCCGGTTGATTCTCTCTCGCCTTCCTCCCGGTGCCTCTTGGTGGTGATCCTGTTTTCCAGTCGTCAGTGGACATACGACATCCCGAAGGTGACAGGTGGCATCTTCTATCCTGAGCTCATGGGGCATGACAGCAGGGGTAGAACTGTTGGGTTCGGGGCGCCGAGGAAAGGACTTGTGGAAGCTGAGTCTTGGGTCTGCTGGGCCCGAGAGCGAGCCCTGGGGAACGCCGAGCACACCGTGTCTGCGCCTGCCACCGCTGTGAGGATGCAGGGGAAGTGCCCAGCCAATCATGTGCTACATGGGTGTAGTTAACAGATTAGCCTCATTGGTTTCATTAGCTCACCTGTTGCCGCAGTGGCTGGTTCATTATTAATTAAGAAATAATTAACTAAGAAGTCACTAAGGCTCCTAGAGTCTTAAAGCTGGCAGGAGCCACAGAGGTTATTTTGCCTGATTTTGTTTGACCTTGACCCCAAAGCAAGAGTCCCACTGTCGTAGGGCCTCCTATCAAAGCCCTCATGGGGTGGGGTGCTCACCATGCGGCCAGCACTGCCTCGGGCTCCTGTGTGACCACCGCGGGCTGGGTGCCCTGGGTGACGGGAGGGGGCTTCCGAGGGGAGGAAACAGGACCCGGGCGAGGGTCAGGGCGAGCAGAGCACAAGGCGCGGAGCCCAGGCCCCAGACGTGCGGGGAAAAGGAGGCCCACGCTCCCCTCGCACGAGAGCCTTCTCTTGTCTCCACCTGTGTCCCCAGAGAGCCCTGCTCACCGGCGGCCACAGTGTCACTGTGGGAAATAGCCATGGGCAAGGCAGGGTCAGGGCACACTGATGACAGGCGGCAGGAGACAGCCCTTGCCGTACCACACTCGTCCCAGCCCAGCCACCCTGCCCCTCACTGCTCCCCTGGCGGCTGGCCCTACAGCGTGGGTTCCACGAAAGGACAGCTCAGCCTGCCTCTGTTTGGGGAGCGTGCACCACAGGGCATGGGCATTGCAGCGCCAGGGCCTGGCCAGAAGCGGGCCAGCACGGGGTGCTCTTCAGGGCACCTTGAGCTCAGGGCCACTGTCAGCAGTGCTGGTCCCCGTGCGGAGACAGGAGCCTCCTCCTGCAGAACAAGCCTCGGCCGCTCTCCTGTCTCCCTGGGCCTCCGTCCACCTGCCCCAGCTCAGACCTCGTCATGCCCCACCTGGACCTCGGCCGTCTCCTGCCTCTCAACTCCCTCAACACACTCTCCACCCCTCTCAGGTGAAAGGAGAACCACAGCTGACGGCAGGAACCCCCTGCTTCCACCAACCCCCCATTTCTGCCCAGGCAAAGCCCAAACCCCTGGCACCGGCATTCAAGGCCCAAAGCAAATCCCTGTCTTCCTGAAAGAGCTGGGCCCACACACCTCATGCACCCTGCCCACGACCCCGTGCTCCCACAGCTCCTTGGGTCTGCCTTTCCCATGCCGAAGAGAGCATTCAGTGCTTACCCCAGTGGGAAGGCTGAAGGGCGCGGACCTGATCCGTGCTCTCCCGTCCTCGAGTTTGCCGTCCCCTCTTCCTCCATCCAGTGGAAACTTACTTACCTTTCAAAGTCAAGCTCAAGTGTCTGCTATGCAACGACCCCAAACAGAATGAGCTGCTCCTGCTTCTACCTGGGAGAACCTGGGAAGTTCTCTTGTGATCACACCTACCCTACGGCATTTGCTCCCACCAAACTGCGTTCTTTCAGGGCCAGGCAGGGGCGGGGTCCACACTGGCCCCTTCCCACACACAGCAGGGCCCAGCAGGTGCTGCTTGGAATAACCCGAATGGCCAGCGGGCCCCAGGTGAGGAGCGGTGGTGCAGTGCTCCTCCTCCCTGAGCCTGCAGGTGCCCCTAAGAATTGCGCTTTTCTAAACCTTGCCAAGATGACTCACTGAGCACCTTGTACCCACCGCAGGCTCCTTGGCTCCCAGGCACGGGGCCTGTTCTGTGAACCCAAGCAAACAGTGGCTGCTCTGACCCTGGGCAGAGCCTCCACGTCCCTTCGTCCCAGGTTCAGGGCTGGGCAGCATCCCCCAGGGGTACCAGCTATCATCCAGCCTTGAAGACTAAGGTCCCACCAGGCTGGGAAGGGTCCTCACTGTGGCTCCTCCATCGGCGCCCAGCTGTCTCTCCACCTCCACAGCCGCCTGCACTTGGGGAAGGGGGTTAGGTCAGATTCGATGATCCTGATGTGGATGCTGACAGTCAGGGTATGTGAGATCGGGGTGGGGCAGACCCCAGACCCTCGGAATGGCGCTCTGCCTTTCTAGAACCACCTCCCTTTCCGACACCAATTTAACATCTGTTCACTTCACAGTTTACAAAGCACTTTTACAGCTGTCCTCCCCACACCCCGGGAAGGATAAGGATTCTCACTGCCATCTCTTCACAGATGGGGACCGATGATGCCTGGGAGGTCAGCTGACTGGCCCAAGGCCTCGGGGCCGAGCCAGGACTCACAGCGAGGTCCCCTGGCCCCCAGTCCCTTGCTCCTCAGCACCACAACTGCTCTGGGCGGTGCCTCAATGTACCCACAGCCCAGTGGGGAGAGGGTTTGGCACCACTTCACAGAGGGAAACCCATGTCTTGGAGCGGCTGGGGCATCCTGGGGTTCTGGAGGCTCAATTTGGGGGTCTATCTGATCTGGTGGTCTCTTGCTGAGCAGCCAGAAGGGCTCAGTGACCCATGTACATTCTACAGGCTCCAGTCCCTTGGCCACACAAGGGGGTGACCAGGCCTCTCTCTCTCGCTCTCTGGGAACAAAGAATGAGAAAGGGAAAGGGCAGTTAGTACACGTGAGAAGCGTTTCGTAAAACCAAGCGCTGACCCAGTGCCCTGTTATCTTCAGACTGGTCCTGGTTTCCTGCAAGGTGTAAGGAGATGGAGGAGAAGGTTCTTCTGGAACGTTGTAATGCATCAGGACAAAGGAAGCCGCAGCAGTCGGCTCCGCTCCCTCTGCCCCTCCCGCCGTCCTCACGCCCAAGGGCTGGAGAGCCAGGTGTCCTCTGACACCTGGGAGCTGCCCTGTGATTGGCAGAGCATCGCTGCACCCAAATCACTTAATTTTTGAAAACATCTGGAGTAATGCCCTAAACTCCCTGGCCCTACAAGTGAGCACCGGGCCTGAGATGGTGGGCACCTGGGCCTCTCCCTCGACTCTCAGAGCGGGGACGCTGCCCCTGCAGGGCGGAGAGCTGGCCGCCTCTCAGCCCGGCGCGCAGCGGCCCAAGCCGTGCCTCACCTCGACTGACCCTTCTGCCAGTCTCCAGGTGGCATATGGGTTTCTCCCTCACGAAGTGAGTTCACATTTTCTTCTGTTCCCGGGGACCGCAGAGCTTTGCAGACGTCAACATGTTTAATTACTTCCATCTCTACCAATCAGAGGTCTTGATTTGTGTATCACTAGAAAAAACACGTGGCAGACTGCTTGTGTCTAAGGTGCCCACATACACACACAGAGTGAGCACCATCGAGCTTTGGTGCAAAACGGCGACATCTCCAATATTTTGCTCATTTTCCGGCAATTTGCCTGAGTCTCACACTGGGCCCACAGAGAGCTCCTGGGAAATATTTCCTCCCTCGTGGAGGCGCTTGCTAGATTCGGACCAGTGCCGTAGCCCCCAGGACAGCGCCAGCTCCCTGGCCCCTCCCAGGCCGCAGAGACCTTACAGAAATCACCTGGGAAGTTTTCCGGTTCCCAGACGAGGCCCTGGGTGGTGGCGGGAAGGTGGAGGGTCTGGATTTGGTTCTCTGTCCGCTCTCTCTTGGAGTGACCAGAGACTCCACCCCTTTGCTTGAGTCCTGGTGTGTACAGTGGAGACCTCGCCACCAGGAACATGAAGAGCCTGGCTTGGGACATGGCACCTGGGCCGTATGTTAAGTGTCTGCAGAGGAAAGGACCAGCCTCCACGTGCTGGAACCAGACAAAGGCCGGGACACCCCCGCGCACCATGAGGTCCCTGGCAGGAGGCCCCTCTAGGTCTGGCCAGGGCCCCTGAGCAGGAGCCCTCCTCCCTCGGAGCGGGGCTCTGCTGCTTGCTAGGCTGCTCCTGCTTCCTAAGAGCCTTTAAAAATTCTTTATTAAATTTTCATGGCGCATAAAGTCAAGGTTCCATCACTTGGCCTCAGTTGTCTTGGTAACTTCGTAAAATGCAATAATAAAATGAAGCTGAGTGTTGCTAACACGGGCTCATTGTATATCAATGGCTGCAGAGTGTTGACGGGGTTTTTTCTGCGTGATAATTTTTGACAGCAAATCTACTGGGTGGACAAAGCTTATTCGTTTTGGGTCAATTGGTGAGAAAAGGGCTCCTTTTAATTTTTTCTTCTGTAACGGCACGCATTAGCCTGCGAAGGTTAATATTGCCCCAAGGAAACTGAGATTCTGGGGGACCTGAAGGGAGGTGTTTGGAAACCCCCCCAACCCTTCATCTTCAAGGTACAGTCATCCTGAGGGAGGGGGAGACGTGTCCCTAGAGTTTGGCCAACTGTCAGAGACTCCATGGCAAGGACACCGGCCCCAGGACAGAGGGCAGGCCCTTCCCGGTTTGTGGGTGCCGTGCTCACCGCTGCAGCTCCCAGATGAGTAGGTGCATACTGCAGACTCTACCTGCATGGGGAAAGCTCCAGGCAGGGCACCTCCCCCGAGAACCGACCCAACCAAGCCGCACCAAAGGAGCCATTCCTGGGGGCCAGGCCCAGCTCCAGGAATGGCCGAGGATCCCAGGCAGAGCGTCTGCCCTTCGCAGGCTGCAGCAGAGCACTCGGTCCAAGCCCCGGGGCCCTTGGACGTAGAAACAGGTGACCCAGAGAAGCCAGTTCCAGTGGCCCCTGGGGAGAGAAGGACCCAGGCCCCTAAGGGAGCCTGCCCAGGAGGGTAGGCCCTGCCCAAAACAGCCTCGGGGCAGTGAATCGAGTGGCCTCCAGGCTCCTGCTGCAGCTGGTGGCCTTCGAGTCGCAGTTAACAGAGCAGTGAGTGTGAGAGGCTCTGGGGGAGGTGTCGAGGAGCCCCGGGTCAGCAAACGTTTCTCCGAAAAACCCTTGTGTGTAACCATCCCTGAGGAAGGGCCTCGCCAGCCCCTGCTTCCTGGAGGCTGCTCCCACCCAGCCAAGTTTACAGGACTCGGAGGCCCTGGGAACTGCTCAGCTTGGCAGCAAAGCGACAACAGTGGAGGGGGACATAGGCCCCATCTGGTAACTGAGAGCCTCCGTGTCTGCCTCTTGTGTGTGCCTGGCAGTGCAGGGAAGGGAGGCTGGTGGTGGCCATGGGTGGAGAGGCACTGTGGCCACGGCGGCGAAGTGGGTGGCATTTCTCCCCTTGTACAGCCAAGGCCACCCATGGGCCCCATGGGGGGACAGCATGGCGAGGGAAGCAGCCGTCCACCTGACTGCGGGTCAGGATGTCCCAAGACCCCAAACAGAGCTACAGCATCCACAGCTTCCCGGCCCAGAGCCAGGGCTCCTGGCTCCACAGCCTGGAAAGAAGCTGCCATGGAACGTCCACAAACGACACTGTCGTTTTCGTTCTTTCTCTGTGCTCACAGGCTCCATGGGAAGGGGCACCTGCCGGGAGGGGAGGGGACGAGAGCCTCTCACAGCAGAGAGGGGCCTTCGGGGCAGGACTCAGCACCCTCTGCCTCACAGCCAGCCAGGGAAAGTTCCCGCACATTCTGCAGTCCTCACTCGATACAGTCGGGTTTCCTTTAAAAAAAAAAAAAAAGCTTTTAAAGAGTTTTGAGTCTGGTAATATATCTGGAAAATTCACTTCCAGGGAAATTCATTCCTCAAGGATGACGGATAAAATGAGACCCCACTGCTGAGGAAAAGCGCTCAACCACTCAGGCGTCTTGTTTTGATTATTTTTTCAAACACGCAATGGATACGCACGCACACATGCGCTCATGCTGCTGACGCATGTATGTGGCCAAACAAATAAAAACAGCGCAGAAAGACATACTTTGACGATTTCCCCAGCCTCGCCCGTCCCTCAGTCCTCCGGTCTGTCCCCAGAGGCGGTGACGGTTTCTGGTCTTGTGTGTCCTTTCCAAGACGGCCACAACGTACAAGAATGCTCCCTCACGGAGTGCCGCCCCTTTCCCTCCTCTTTTATACAGCGACCTGCCCACTGCTTTTTCCACTTAACACTGTTTCTGGGAGATGGTGGCCCGGTGCATACGTGCAGGCGGGCCTCAGTGTTTCGGGGGCGCCCTGGCACGCCCCTGGATGAGGCGCTACAGTTACTTAGAATACTGCAGTTCACGTCACTGGTGCCAGCATACAGGCCGATTCCAGTCTTCCGTGACTACATACAGTCTTTCAGGGACTACCCTTGAACATGCATCTTTGCATCCACGTACAGCGTGTCCTAGAGGTCAGATTCCTAGATCAAAGAGTCATGCATCTTAAGTCGCAATGCCCATGACAGCCTGCCTCCCAGAGGGGCCGGCCCAATTTCCAGTCCTCCAACCGGGTGGGAGGGCCAGCTCCCCCCTCCTCCCGACACAGCCCACCGTCAGAATGATGACCTCGCACGCTGATGGTTGAAAAGCGTGGCACTGCCTGATGACAAATGTCATGTCTGTTTCTCTTGCTGTGGTAAAGTTGAGATTTTCATTGGTTTAAAAGCCATTTGTATTTCCTTTTCTGTGAACTGGCTGCTCATGTTGTTTGCCCATATTTCTACTCGTCTTTTTCATGTTGACTTGTAGCATCTCTTTGCAAATGAAAACAATGAGCCTTTTGTCATAGTTTTGCAAAATGTGTTCTATGTGAGCCATTTTTCGGCAGCCAGCTCTCCCTCTGCCTCCCACACATTCTTCACAGGCTGCCAGAGTGGCCTTTTGGAAATGCCACCTGGGTCCAGCTCAAACTCCTAACTCGGTTTTGGGGGTTCTTGTTTTGAGGCCCCGTGTTCCCCCAGGTGGGCCAAATACAGCCGCCAGGTGCAGCCTGGAGGGTGTGCACGGCGATGGGGCAATGACACACGGAGAACCTCAGGAGCGCCCCCTTGAGGTGAACAACAGAGCAGCCTTTCTCCCAGAAACCTTACCTCAGGACTCACCCCATTTTTTGCCATTCACCAAACGCTTCATGCTCTTCCAGGCCCCCAGTGTTGCCCGCCTGCTCTTCCTTTTATTGCCAAACACTCTTCCTTCCCTGTGCACTGGTGAGCTTCCTACTTGTCCTGCAGTTGACAGTCACCTCCTCTGCAAAGCTGAGCCTACTCCCTCAGGCTGGCTCATCCCTCCCTCAGTCCCCCATTGTCCTCATGTGTCCCTTTAGCCCACTTCAAGGTGATTCCCACTTTGCAGAAGGGCCGTGCTCATTCATGTCTGGATCCCACCCTCTCCCAGGGCCTAGCACAGAGGAGGTGCTCAGGAAATGTGTGTGAATGAATGAAGAAATGAGTGAATAAAGAAGTGAGTGAAGAGTCAGTGAATGAGTGAATGGGAGAGTGAATGAGCGAAGACCACCTTCATGTGAAGAGTGAGGGGTAAAGAAGACCCAGCCACTCCTCAGCCTAATGTAAAGTGGTTCCCAACAGGCTGTTCTGTATGAATGTCCACTAAACCCCCCAAAATGCAAATTTTTAAAAATGCAGCGGACCGGTTCTTCCCAGGTAATCAGTCTGCCCTGCGAGTCTGAGTGAAGGCCTTCCTATTTAGTAGGTCTGTTGTATGCAAGGCCCTTTTAGGGAGCAGGTTAGCCTCCCTCCGCTAGCTCCCCCAGAGGAGCACCCCAGGAGGGCACAGACGCCTCTGCCGTCAGGACTGCCCTGGGGACGGGCCCGGGGACCCTTCCTGGTCTATAGGGCTCTGCTGCCGTCACTCCCTAGGTCCCTTCAGGGCTTCCTGCTACTCAGCTCACCTCCAGCCCTCTGTCTGCCATCAGCCCTTCCCCTGCATCCTCGGGCCCCTTGAAAATGTAAGCTGGATAAGGTCCCCCCAGGTGCTCTTTTCCCCATGGCTTCTCCTCGCTCTGAAGAGCAAGGCCATGGTTCCTGGGAGGCCCCTATGGCCCCTACAGCCTCCATGTGCCTCTCCCGCACCTTCAGGGGTGACCATGCCCCTGGCTAAGGCTGCTCAGCTGCAGGGCTCCGGTTACCACTGCCGTCCTTCCTCCCCTTACCCAGTAACTACTGAGAGCCTCTTAAACACCAGCCAGGCCCTGGCGAGGTTACGTTGTGAGTAGACGTGGCCCTGCCCGCCTGGAACTGAAGGTCAGTGGGACGTAAGTGAACAAGTACAGAGGGCGGAGCCAAGAGCAGAGAGGAGGGCTTTGCGGGGCCTTCTGTGTGTCCAGCTCCGAGAGGCCAGCCCCACGCCGGCCGGTGGACGATGTCCTCCTTCTGCTGGAGAGTGTTTAAAGGATGTGCTTTGAAAGATAACTGAGTTTCAGATTTGGAGGGCGGACTCTGGAGTGTGGTGGAGCATGCACAGGCAAGGAGAGGCTGGCTGGGGGCGCGATGTGTCCAGGCGGAAGGGAATGGCAGGTGGAACCTGGCGGCAGCTCTGGAGACGAACGGCACTGACTCAAGAAGCATATAGGAGGAGAACTGCTGGCCCTTCTCATCGCAGTCTTGAACGCCAGCTTGCCTCCCTGCATGAGGGCAGGGTCCGGTCCGCCCTCTGGCAGCACTTACAGAACCTAGCACTCCGCTCAGTCCATGGTTGATGGAATGTTCTGGGAGTGAATGAATGGATGAGTGAGTGAATGAATGAATAAATGCCAGGTGAAAGGGAATAGTAAAGGAATGAATGAATTTAACAGATGGGGAACCTGATGCTCTGTGTTGTGCAGTGGTGTGTCGGCTGCGTGAGCTGGTGGTGACCTCTGAGAGGGGCAGAGCCAGCAGCAGGCCCGGGAGGGAGGCGCAGGCTGCCTGGCCAGGCCCGGGGGCAGTGAGAAAACCCCGTCTCCTCCCTCCTCCTCACTCGCAGATACCTGTTTTCATAACTTGCCATTTCCCCACACACCCGCAGGCGGGAATACGCACCGTCCCAATAAATAAATCTGGGCCACTTTTCAGCATCGTTTAACGTCCCCAGGAAGATTGGATCACGTGTCATCCAGCAGCAGCCCATTAGCTGACAGGCTGAAGCATGTCATATTGAATTCCACGGCCCACAGAGCCCAGGAGCCCGTGTGCTGCTTGGAAGTCGGCACTGCTGTATCGAAATGAA